ATCTGTTCCGACAAGCATGAGTGAGTGAGTGAGTGAGTGTGGTTTTACGCCGCTTTTAGCAATATTCCAGCAATATCACGGCGGGGGACACCAGAAATGGGCTTCACACATTGTACCCATGTCGGGTTTCGAACCCGAGTTTTCGGCTTGACGAGCGAACGCTTTAACCACTAGGCTACCCGACCGCCCCCCGACAAGCATGAAGTTATTGTGTCGACAGTGTCCTCTCTGACAGAAGTGCACACGTATAGCTAGAGGATAGGCACTTCAGTGATGGAAACCAATTCAGCATTTCGTTTCCGAATTTGTTTGGGCCAGTGAGTTAACCTTGTGCTTAAAACGTTCGCCCGTCGACCTAAAGTCCCCGGGTTCGATCCACACAAAAGTACAATTTGTGAAGTCAATGGTGGAAATGCAACGTGATGATATTGCTGATTTCTAGAAACAACTTGAAACCTCATTCACCCACTCAATCTATTTTGGTTAACGGGCTTTGCCATTCACATCATACGTACCGGTATGTCTGTGTGTCAAGGATGTCCGGGGGGTAGAATTGACACCATGGTTACAGGGCTCGAATTACGTGGTTGACAGACACTCTTTATTTCCTCCAATAATTGAAGAGTGCATATGAAAGTAAGTTAGGTCGACTCATAAATGTCCTGTAATCAACCAAAGCAGATAACATAAAATACATACAATGCCCTTCTATGTAGGTACTAGTGAACAGTAACGGTTATAACATGTTTTGTTTGATGTGTAGCCTGCAAATATGTAAAAACTTTGAGACAACCAACACAAATTGCATCCAGGTGCTTACATGAACACGACATAAACTGTTGTGATCTCCTCCAAGCACACAGTTCAACATTGCAGTGTCATCCTGGTCACAAAAATTAATAAAATCGTTTATGTGCAGCACTGAAGAAACGCTATCGCACATCTGATTTCTCTGTTGTAAGAGTCCTTCACGGTCAATGATGACATTCAATGATGACTGGTGTAAAGTCCGGTACTATGGTGTGACATAGTGTACACGTAACATCACCAGGTTTTACTGATGCCAGACATATCATGGATGACATGTACAGTTTGTGCGTTGGACGGACGTATGCTATTTTCCATTCTTTATTTCAACCTTGTAAATTCGAAAATATTGATTATCCCCAATTATATGAAAATAGTTGGACTATCACATTCACCGGACCTGTTTTAGAACAGGTAAAGATATGGGCGGTTCACAGCATCTGTTGGGGGGTCTTGGTTAATATCACGGGAAATGACAGTTTTCACTTTATGGTTGACAATAGACCCCACATGTGACAACCCAATAAAGCACACGTGTTGACACATAATGTTTTGTTTCATTTAGTTTCATTTCTTTGAGATTATGAAGTGCACGTGTTAGGCTTCTCCTGTATGTTACATGATATCCTAACGCTCCTTTCTTTGTTGTTCAAAAGGCGTTGTATCACAGGCCATGTAACTATTGAGAGTAATGACTGACACATTCTAAAACACGCCATCGAAACCCACAATTCATTCCACGTTACAACGTGTGGGGCAGATAAAGAGCAAAATATCGATTGATCGTTCAAATGAGTGAGTGAGTGAGTTGGGTTTAACGCCGCTTTACAGTATTACAGTTATATCACGGCGTGTCAGCTTAATGTGGGAGGAAAGCCCGAAGTGATGCATGTCTTAGACGTTTACCACTTCGGTGAAACCCACGAGCACGGGTATGGTGCTGACAAACCTAGAAACATAATCGGGGCGAACCGGGATTCGAACCCACAATCATAGGTTTCTGGCGAACCCAAGGGACGCAACTCTGTCCAACGAATTGCTGCGTCGTTCAAATGAAACTTAACATTAATATTTCAATTGGTATGTATATTGAGAAAATTACTTTAGCCACCTAATAAGCCAAGATGTCTGCCAAATTCCAAATTTGTCGCAATGATTATTTTTTGACGTTGACATTCATAGAATATTTTTATTTTGGTTATCTTAGTGTTGTTTTCAATTTTCATTACCATGATGAGACGAGTTTTAGTGCTTTGAAACCCCCCGAATTGTTCTTTCTATCAGTTCTAAAGGCTGTCAACAAGTTTGAACCAAAGACCGCCATTAACTCGAATCGGCATAACTTACAATAATGACTAAAACTTTCTTTACTAGTCGGTGATTTTATTAATTTCCAATAGGTTGGCACTGTATGTGTAACTAACTGTACGAAAGTATGTTTTGTTTATTAATTTGCATTAGGAAGAAACGAAAATGAAAATGCACCCTTCCAAATAAAGTAGAATTTGAAAGTCCATCAATATAGTATTACAGTAAACTACGGTTATAACGAACTCAAAGGGACTACTAATTTTAGATCGTTATAGCCGTAGTTCGTTATAAGCATATATACAGCATAACTACAGCAAATATAGTCGGGACCAAAAAAGTAAGTTCGTTATATCCGCCTGTTCGTTATAAGCGTGTTCGTTATAACCGTAGTTTACTGTACTTATTTTCATGACAGATCCGTGTGTTCAGCCAAGATATGGGGTATCTATCAAGGCAGCTTTACTATTGAAATAGTTCAAAAACCACTGCGATGTTATCGAAATACAGGCGATACTATTGCAACATTTTGGGATAGTTTCAGATGTACCTTTGCCGTCCTTCGTGTACATTTCCGTGAATTATTGTACCTGATGACGTCATTACTTGGGAAGTTGTTAAAAGGGGTAAGGAAGGAACCCCTGATTATTTTACCGAATGGATGCTAAAATGTATCTCCCAGCATTGGTATCAAAACTTATGGAATATTTCTTTCATATGTTACGATTATGTTTTCGGTAGTTGTGTGACATCGATGTATACTATCGATATCTTAACTTGATCTAATATGTATTGATGTGGTGGACAACACTTATGTCGTCATTAATAATTAGTTGTCGCAGAGCGATATTATATACTTATAATAAAGGGTTACTCAAATATATTCGTCAAAAAAATATATTTTTGAACGCTGTTGAAAATGAGATTATTGTGATGTTCAGCTTTAACGCCTGACTCAACTATATTCCGGCAAGATGAGGGCGGTCTCAGAATTATTCTCCGGTTCAAATTCATGGCTACAATAATGTAGGCTCCATTTCAAAATGACTTACAACCTGGTATCATTACTATTTGATAGTGATTCATAAACACATGCTCATGATATAGTCGGAAATGTGCAATCGACTCTGCTTCATGCAGAGATTTCTATTGGATATGAAAGGTGAAATGGGGTTTAACGTCGCGTCCAAGATTATTGCACTTATATAGCGACGTGCATGTACATGTGTGTGTGTTTGTGTGGCTACTTGTACTAGTCCGGACTGATTTATAGTGCTAGCTCACTGAGATAGCATGCCGCAGTTTAACATGAATATCCCACTCAGACACAGTATACTGACTCCGAGCCGACCAGTCTTTGTTTCAGCCCCTTAATGCCGAGCGCAAGACAGGGTAACAACAAGTACCATCTTTTAACGTCTTTTCGTAAGACGCCGCCGAGGATCGAACCCCGGACCTTCCGCTCTCCGGGCGGACGGTCTACCACTGGACCACGGAGGCGGTCGGATATGGAAAGGGTTTTGTCGCTTTTTATTATTACATTTCTTTTGGCATCATCTTGATTGTACATTGTTTTGATCTATGCGAGTAGTTGGGTTTAGGGTATTGTTGTTTATTGTCCATTAGGTTCATGATCTACGAGTCACCAAGTGAAAACAACACACGTATAATTATAACACTGATTCCTGCCACCAGCATCATTGATGACGTAGTACAGATATCTTGTTGACCCTGTTAACGTTCGCTCGTCGATACAGAAAAAATGCTTTTTTAGAACAGATAATCATGAAATATCGATATTAATATAATTATGTATTAGATTCTTGTTAAGTTTTTTTTATTAAAGTCGTTTCAGAACCAATGTAATTCCCTCTCAAACGACATATACACTCATATGTAAAATGTTATTTAAAACTAGTACGGATAGGTGGATGTGTCACTTAATCTTTCAATAAAATAGACGACCAGTGAAGATCCGGGGTATAAAAGGTCTTCAGCAACCATGCAATGCCTGCCGTAAAAGGCGACTATAATGTCGTAAGAGGCGACTAACGGGGTCGGGTGGTCAGGATCGTAGACATGGTTGATGCATTCCATCGTATCCTAATTGCGTGGATCGATGCTCATGATGTCAATCACTGAATTGGCTGGTCCAGATTCGATTATTTACAGACCGCCGTCATATAGCTGGAATATTGCTGAGTGCGGCGTTGAACAACAAACAAAAGTACAATAGACAAAATGTTTTGACTGTATCTACGTTTTATTTACACTTTCCTGCAAAACGGACCCGAGACTAGGCTAATTTTTAAAATTAGTCATTCAGCGACCCCGATTCACTCCGTTGTATGAATTTGAAACCAATCCCCCAATAACTGTGTAGCCTACACACGTTGAGCGAAAAGCCCGTGTTTTCAGTAACTGTTTTTTCGGGACATCGATCATGTCAACCAATGTATTTTGGGGGTAAAACCTGAGGAGACGTGTTTTTTTCTAGAACAAATTGTTCTTGTAAACAAACCCCAGCAATTGATTTCACATTAGTCGTGATGTACTGTTAGTCTGTCGTTGTAAGCATTCACAAATATTTTAGTGCTGCTTCTTTAGCTTCGAGAGTTGTACTTCATTATGTTCGACTAGTAACGACTTTGAGATATCAACCTGAATAATTCCCTATCTACCGCGCGATAAAACGCCTTGCATATTCTATGTTTCATTGTGTTACATTAGTTCTAAAAAGGTGATTTTTTTTAATTATATGTCTATCCTTTTAATATTTTTTCGAGATGATGTTGGAAATATCGAGTTTGTTTGACAAGCTCCTCACAGCGATAGAGCATGCGATACGGGAAGGGTAACGAATGTGTCATACGCTGGAAGGAGCTTGATTTCCAAGGGAGATAACTTGTCATCTCATTCTTTTCTTCGCCTTCCGGTCTCTTCTGCTCGACCTTGCAACAACAGTTGCAGCCATGCCGGGAGTTGAAATGTTCTCTAGGTTTATGGGCCCTCGATTCTATCAGATGGCCAAAAACTGGTTGGTATAATTGATATGACCATTTACTTCATGAGTGACATATATTATCTTTCAAATTGTTCACATTATTCCTGTAAGAATAATGTATAACGATCGACCTTCACTTTCGAGATTGTCTTGGTTGTCAATGTTACTTAGAAACTATGGCTGGGACGAAACTATGGCTACCCGGGTACCCACTGTAGGTCTCAAGAGTTGGGAACAAAATGTCTCACTGGGAATTGTTTTGTCGGAGCCCTGGCCAAAACTGCTTAGATACATGTATCAAACGATCAGATCATGCGTGCACTGGAGTTGACTGACGCTTTATCTTTACTCAAAGTCCAAAGGAATGTGTGTATTGTCATAAAGAAATGCCAACATAAGTGACTTGCTTGAAGTGTAACCACTGAGCTATAGTGAGTTTTAGTCATAAAACAATATATCACCTGACTAACCACGGGTCCGGATAGTCCTGTGGGCACCCGGATCCTACTCAGGACCCACCCGACCCGAGTTCACCCGTTCCAGCCCTACTAGAAACACGATATTACTGAATCAGAATCTGTTGTTGTTTGTTTGTCTCACATTCATCAATTGTTACTTCTCAACAGTATATATAATCAGAATTTCTTACACTTATACTTAACGATAAATGTGGCACATATTTCGTGGGTTTGAACCCCGGATTTTCCCAGTTTAAGTTAATTACATCTAGGTTTGTCATCAACATATCCGTGCACATTGGTCTCAGGGAAGTAGTGGACATCTAAACGACTAAAACCTACATCACTTTTGGCACTGTGACTGAAACACTGTTCAAAGCAGTTTAAATCAAACTCTCGATAAACATGAAAACGAAGAGTTTCTAAGTTTTAAATGTAATTGTCTAGTATTGCTGCCATGACAATGAAATTTTAGGGTGTGAGTTGATTTTATGTTGATAATCTTGTTTCCGTTGTTACAGGTCCCCTACTTTAGGAGTTTTCGGAGCAACAGCAGCTATAACAGGACTGTATATCACTGACTGGAAGGCAGTTCTCAAGTATGTCCCATACTACGGTGGCAAGTACCCGGAGGAGCCACCACAGTGAACATGAAAATCAGTGAATATGTGTGAGTGATGTCAGTTAAACATGGTTTGCCGCCTATGGTCTGTTTGTTGTTTAACGCTGCACTCAGCAATATTCCAGCTAAATGACAGCTTTGTAAATAATCGAGAGTGGACCAGACAATCCAGTGATTCACATCATGAGCATGGATCCACACCATTGAGTTCCCCATGGTAAACAAGCACTGGAAGACATCTTTACATGACAGTGTCAGCCCCACATACTGTGTTCTTGTTATGTATGCTTTTGTTTTTCTCAACTGCTTAGGGGCCTTCAGGCAATTTGTGTCGCCAGTATGGCCAACAATGGTGGTCAGATTTTGATAATATTGGCTGATAATGTGTAGCAGTGATCTGATGGCATGGGACAACGATCTTGCTGTCAACAACTGGTTTGCCTGTACCAGAGTTGATTGTTTACAGGCAGCTGTAATATGGCTGATAACAACTTCATTATACATTCATAATGTGTGTATAATAATTTTGTTGTTAATAGTATTCATTGTCATGACATATGTATATATTTGTATACTTCTAAATGCCTGTAAAGACTATATTAGTTCATACTTAACAGATAGACAATGTTTCCAACTACCACTGCTGTACAGGTACTGACTATATCAAGTACAGTCGAACCTCGTTCTGTCAAACATGGATGTGTTGAATTCTCAGTTGTCTCAAAATAACCTGGTCCCTGCGAAATCCTTTTATATTTATCATCTTTTATACCGGGATAATAATTGAAGGAAATTTTGAATATATATTGCAAACATTAGTCCAGATAAACAATGAACAATTTGTTTATTACCAGATATTATAATAATAGGTTTAAATTGTGTACGTCTGTTCGGATTTGTTAACTGGTATTTCCGGTGTTACGTGATCGTGGTGATCAGCTGATAATGTTTTCTGAGATGGGAGAACAAATCGTGTCATTGGAATACTTAAGTTTATGTTAGTAAATTTGGGGAGCCATGCTTTACCGCGCTATAACCGAGTTAGCACTATACTGAAGAGCGCAATAGCGAGGGAACACTGTATGTCGATCTGGATGTGTCAAATTCCTGGTTGTCTCAGAAATCATTTGGGAGTCCCAAGTTCTAAATTGAGCATAACGTTCCCCTGATACCTTGAACAATCCTAAATAAAACATAACCTCTACACACCCACAACTGACTGACTTTACTTCGATAGACCCAATTGCAATGAAAGGCAAGATACCTTCGTACAGTTAAGCCTGATTAACAAGCACACCTTACATCAATGGTTCAAGCTGTAAACAAATCAGCAGTGAGTTACTTTAGTGTTCTCATTTGACTACCGATGAGTGGCACCTAATTTGACCAGCCTGGGCACTGAAATTCACTTACACCTTGAAATCTAGTGTTGCGTTTGGATCTGGTAATAATCTTTCTTAGGATCTGGTAATAATCTTTCTTAATGAAAGGTTTTCGAAAAGTCACTTGGTTTATTGTCTTTGGTTGTTTGGTTTGTTGTTTAACGCCGCACTCAGCAATATTCCAGCTATACGACGGTGGTGTGTAAACAATTTAGTCTGGACCAGACAATCCAGTGGTTAATATGATCCACGCAATTGGGTTATTGCGGAGTGCATCGTTAAACAACAAATAAACAAATAACAAGCCTGTCCATAAACCTTAATTGCCATGTTGTGCTCTATAATTTATTGTCTCCTTATTCTCTTTTGCAGGTGCTTGTTATAGAAGAAAATCCCACTTTCTGTTTGAATGTATGACGGGCAGACGCTTGTTTTATCATCATTGGAGCTGTATAGAAACAATGGTTCCATTGAGTCAATAAACTATGTTGTATTTCACAATTGTGTAGTTTGTCATTGTTCTTTTGTGATCATAGGACAGTAGTTTGTCACAGTGTGTATCCACATGGGATGTGGAAATACCCTGTCAGACTATTGCAGATTTTTGCAGTCTAGTTTTCTATGGACATGAACGTGAATCTCTTAAAACTAGAAAGAAATATCTCCCTGTAGAACTTAGAGGTTCAAAGCCATCGCACTGCATTGCAGTTTTTGCCTAAGTTATCCTTGACTTGAATACTAGTACTTTTAAGTCCTTTGGCAAGTAAAGAGAAATATTTAGAATTTACTGATTTGTACTTTTAAAAAAACATGCTGTACCCCCAGTCAAAGATGCCACAAAATGACATACACTTGAATTGAAATATATTGTGGCAAACAATTAAAGTAACAATTTTTGGACAAATAGCCTCAGAAAAGTAATGTTTGCCAGGGTTCTTGTTCGAGGAAAAGTGATTTGTTTTCCACGTCCTTGTCATGCCCATGCCATGATGGAACCCATGATGTAAATTCAAAAGAAACCTGATCAGTGATACATTTCAATAAAGACAAGATTGCCTTGAGGAGGTTTTTTTTGTGGTTATTAGGGCAGCCTCCATCTCATCAAACGCTGTTCGGATTAAAGGTAAAAACTCTACAGATAGTAGGGAAACAGGTAGCCCAGTCTAAGGTGCCGCAAGTCGCTGTGCAGAGTTGCATCTCTTGGTAATTCCAGTAATCTGTGATCATACCAAAAGACGTTAAAAGATGGTACTTGTTGTTACCCTGTCTGACGCTCGGCATTAAGGGGTTAAAACAAGAACTGGTTGGCTCAGAGTCAGTATACTGTGTCTGAGTGGGGTATTCATGTTAAACTGCGGCATGGTATCTCAGTGAGCTAGCACTATAAATCGGCATCAGTCCGGTCTAGTACAAGCAGCCACACACACACACACACACACACACATGCATGCACGTCGCTATATAAGTGCAATAATCTTGGATGCGACGTTAAACCCCATTTCACCTCACCTCACCTATCTGTGATCTTAATGTACTACTTTACATTTGCTGAGGACCACACTTTTGACTAAAGATGACTCTTTTGGTCCTTAGCTAATGTTGAGCAGTATATCATGGTATATATAATTTTTGTTTGTTTATTGTTTAAAGCCGCACTCAGCAATATTCCAGCTATATGACGGCGGTCTGTAAATAATCGCCTTCATCGCCTTGAAGAAAATTCAAGGCTTTTCAAGCTTTTGGTGATTCACAAGGTTGACACTATAGAGAAACAAGGCTTTTCAAGAAGGACCTTAAAATTCAAGGCTGTACGAGTTGTTTAGTCCCGCACTCAGTAATTGAGTCTGGACCATACAATCCAGTGATTGACATCATGACCATTGATCCACACATTTGGGATACGATGACAAGCTGCGAAACATCAACCCTGTCAGCGAGCCTGACCACCAAATCCTGTTAGTCGCCTCTTACAAGCATAGTCGTTTTTTATGGCAAGCATGGGTTGCTGAAGACCTATTCTACCCCAAGGCTGTATGAACCTTGATCTAGCATGCCCAGCAGTTTGGTCGTCACTGATCCCTTTATCCATCAATACAAGGCTAGGTAATTAATTCAGGAATCTAATCAATTAAGTCTAGGATTTGTTTTGTTTGTTGTTTAATGCCACACTCAGCAATATTCCAGCTATATGACGGCGGTCAGTAAATAATCGAGTCTGGATCAGACAATCCAGTGATTGACATCATGTGCATCGATGACATGTAACCAAGTCAGCTAGCCTGACCAATTAGTCGCCTCTTATGAAAACATAGTCTCCTTTTATGGCAAGTATGGATTGCTGAAGATCTATTCTACCCTGATAATGATAACAGGTTAATGTAAATGCATTACATTTCAAAATATATGCATACAATATTAAGTGGTCATACTGTGATTAACACACTAACTAATATTGTTAGGATATTTATATTATTTTGTAATGTTAGATAAATAAGTCTTACACTTAATTTCATAGTCAAAACATACATATCTCTAACTCTGCATAACTTAATATATGTTGTGATTCATAGAAGTACAGCACCCTTGGCAACCCCAACTGTTCGTCAGAGGCAACTTAATGGATGGTCAGACTCGGTTGACAGTGTGTCCATGGAGTCAATGCATAGTCTCCCTGGTGTGTCATTGAACCCTAACAGGGGGCACGGGTGGCCCAGTCAGAGTTGCGTACCTTGGGCATGCCAGAAACCTATGATTGTGGGTTCGAATCTCGCTTCGCCCCAATTATGTTTCTAGCTTTGTCAGCACCATACCCGTGCACGTGGGTTTCACCGAAGTGGTTAACGTCTGAAACCTACATCATTTCGGGCTTTTCTCCCACATTAAGCTGACACGCTGTGATGTAACTGGAATACTGTTAAAAGCGGCGTTAAACCCAACTCACTCACTCACTGAACCCTAACAGCATAGATCACTGCTCTAAATATCAATTACTGGATTGTCTGGTCCAGGGTAGGAATACTGCTGAATGTGGCCTTGAAAAACACACACATGCAGAAATACAGGAAATTGGCAGCAAAGAGCATCTGCCAGATTTATTCTATTTTAACCATGGTTACACGTTTACTATTTTAGCAAATCAATCATACATTAATTAACACACAGGACAATTATAGCAATAATGTGTCATACATGTCTTTAAAGTCAAACAAACATATGAACTAAGTTGCACATTATAGGGAGGTCGCATCACAGAATCTAGATTATGTATCAGTTGATGACTTTGTCTGGCCTTGTGTCGCGCCAGTCCTCTTCTTATAGAGATAGCGTGCTTCCTCCTCCATCTCTTGCCATTGCTGTTTCCTGTGGTAGGGCCTTAAGAACACAGCATACCCAGTTACCAAGGCTATCCCAATACCCATGTAAACAAACATCCCTCTGGAAGCCATGGTGAAGTGTCTTTCAACAGGAGAATACCTCCAACAATTTTCTTGAAGACACTGATCAGTAGGAAACTGCTTAAAAATGGCCACAGCGTTGCTGATTCTATGGGCTGGGGCTTGAAGTGTGATAATGCAGTCTCTGTATTGAATTGCAAACAGTCAAGGTGATTTCAAGAACCCTCTGCACCTTGTGTGTGTGAAGGCGTGGTTTTAACAGCGTGTGGAGATTTTCGAGCAGCTTCTGGGTGCTCTAATGCATATTTTTCAAAGGCTGGCTTCCATATGTAAACGCCAGCGACGACACCAATGACAGTCACTACCGCAATCTGATGAAAAGGCAGTCGTTTTCGTAGCAACTTTCTCATACCTACTCAACGTGCCTCTGTGCACCGGTTGTAAACTGTTCACTTCCGGGTTATGAGCACATACCGGTCGATAAAAGTTGTTGATAGCTTCTTACACTGCCACTTTCACAACCCTGTTTCTGTATATCGGGAAACGTTGAATTCGTAGCCACTCCAAACTCGTAGACACAATTTACGGTGAATTCTTAGACAAACATGAAGTGGATTCGAAGACACTTGTTTATATTGGTATTGAATGATAATAATGACTAGATCTATCCGTGTCTGTCACTTAAAATAACTTCAACCACAGTTTGTTGTTTATTACACGGCGTATATGACTGGTTGCGTCACTAATGGAAGATTTTATACTGTGAATAAAGTATTAAATATATATACGGCAGGTATTAGTATTTTCTTTGCAGGATCCATATTAAAATTATACATAAAGCATTCGGTATATAAGCATAGGTTTGTTTGTTTCTTGTTTAACGCCGCACTTTGCAATATTCCAGCTATATGACGGCGGTCTGTAAATAATCGAGTCTGGACCAGACAATCCAGTGATTGACATAACGAGCATCTCACGACAAGCGTAGTCGCCTTTTACGCCAAGCATGGGTTGCTGATGACCTATTCTACCCCGGATGATCACAGGTCTCATGTTTTTCGCTATTTTATTTGTTTCGTCTACGAGTTCACCGTGAATTTTGTCAACGAATTCTCCATGGCTACGAATTGGTGTGCTTACGAATTCACCTACAGCCGTTTCTAGTAGGGCTTGTGACATGCGGATTGGAACTTCTTCATTCACTAAATATTCGGAAGTCTTCCATTGTTATAACAAATTCAATAATGTATAAAGTCTAATCGAGACTGGGGCGGTGGGTTAAAGCGTTCGCTCGTCACGCCGAAGGCTTGGGTTCGATTCCCTACATGGGTACAATGCGTGAAACCCATATTTCCTGTGTTCCCCGCCGCGATATTGCTGGAATACTGCTAAAAGCGGCGTATAAGTAAAACCATACTCACTCATTCACTCACAAATCGAGTCTTGTTGAAACGTTCTTGTGTACAATGGCGTTTGTAAAATCACGCCGTGTTGCCGAAAAGTGAATATAATTATGTACAGTATGTACTCAGCCTGAATAAGACATATATACAGATCAACTTGTCGAAGTCATTTTCTATGTAAAATATCGACTTGTAATTGTCGTTTCTTGGCAACTCTTTTTAGTGCTGACTGAAAAGATATACGGTCACACACGCACGGAAGCAAGGACACATGCTCACCACGAAGAATATAAAACGGTCAGGAGTGTTGTACATTGCTGTGGGTTTTTTTTCTTCTTCTTTTTTGTTTGTTTTGTTTTGCTGTTTAACGCCGCACTCAGCTATATTCCAGCTATATGACGACGGTCTGTAAATAATCGAGGCTGGACCAGACAATCCAGTGATGAGCATCGATCTACGCAATTGGGATACGATGACATGTCTCAACCAAGTTAGTGAGCCTGACCACCCGAGCCCGTTAGTCGCCTCTTACCACAAAGCATAGTCGCCTTTTACTGCAAGCAATGGTTGCTTAAGACCTATTCTACCCCGGATCTTCACGGGTCGTTTTTAATGATAATGTTTATTATAAACTTCAATGCGAAAGACTGAGATTTCTGAAGTTGAGAAAAGTGATATTTTCACTGCAGTGAACAGAACACTT